GCAACTAGAGTTTTAGGTTTAGTGATATCATAAATGTCTGGCAGGGAGTGTTTATCCCACTCTACCAAAGACATTGAACTTGCCTTCTCATAGAACCTATAGGAATGAGGCTATGGGGATGAAGAGCACAAAATTTCCCAGTGAGTTATCAAGGTCTTTTGTAAGAGAGACTCCTACTTTCACTTCCTGGTGCCCAGACCTATGTAGCCTTTCTGTCGGGGCAAACAGTCATGAGAGACAGTGCTTTGCACTGCTGGATATTCTCTACAAGCTGTACATTTCAGGCTGCCTTACACACTCTACTAGTCTGATAGCTTCTGCAAAATATATATTTGGTAGGATAGATTAATCTTATGATTCTATGGCCTGAGCAGTAAGGCAACTCATGTCATAGCCTGAACCTCATGCAGAACTTTCTCTTTTTTTGCTGTCTACCATTTATTTTTATTTTATTTTTAAAATTTTTACATAAACTTCATTGAGAATTTCATACATGCATATAAGGTGTTTTGATCAAATCTATGCCCACTCCCTCCCCTCCAACCTAAGCTTTACGGTAGAGTTGGAAGTCACCAACACATTGGGTCTGGGGATATAGTTCCATGGTAGAATCTGCTGATTTTTTAAGAACTTTCTATTGCAGTATGAATACATATAAAGTATTAGAGAAATTATAAATGAGCTACTAATGACTAGATCTACTAATGACTAGATAGAGCTAAGAGTTTTCATGATGATTACATAAAAATTGTTAATTCCATAAACCAATAAAAATTTAACCTCATTACTCTCTGGATTTGAAAAATTCTTTAGACTAATCCATGCCCCAGAAACATAGCATTCACTAGAGTATATTCATAATACAACCCAACCATAAATTCATTCTGTCTTCCAGGACAAGATGTATGAATCTTGAAGGATTTGTAAATTTTTGTTCTTATCTTTGTATCATAGTAGAATTCAGCATATACATATTTGATACATACATACACACATATAAAAATTTTTCCTTCTCTGTCATTTTTTAGACTAATCTCACTTTCACAGCTCTACCAGCTCAAAGGATGAGCGAACATATGCTTCCCCATATGTCCCGCACAGACTCCTCAATGCCTGTATTACTCAGAGCTTGGTGATTGAGGAATGTTTGTACTATTTTATTTTTCCTCATAGTGATTCACTCTACTGTACATTTCAAAACCTGTGATAAGTTGAAAGATCCAAGAATTGAGGTACATTTCAGCAAACAGCTTTCCATCTGTTAAATGAGAGGTTTTATTTATAACCAGGTATTCAGATACAGTAAAATGAAATGACATTCAGTTATTTTGTTTTATTACATGACTGAATGACTGAGTAAAAACATTGTCTCCAGTTAGTTCTCTACACTGGAACCATATCCATGAAACTCCTTTGCCTTAAGCTCTTCAAAAGATGTAGAATTCCATGTTGGGAAGAAGCCCTCCATGATCCAGCCCCTGTCACCTCCCAGCTGTCTCTCAGAGATTCTCACTATACAGTCTTACAAAGCTGTCCTTCAGTTGTACCCTTACATCAGCACTTAACTCAGGCATAATACATAGATAGGAAATGTTAGCAAACCAAATAGGCTTGAATATATAACCTACTGCTACCTAGCTGCTTTTCATCTATTGCACCCTTAGAGAATTTCTAAAAGCTCACACTGAGGGTTCCAGGAAGGAAGCAGAGATGGCCATGTGCCTTTTGTAACCATATTTGAACCCCATCCCCCCAAGAGCTAGAGCAAAATAACTTGGAATTCCTGGGATACTCAGAACTCACTGATTTAATAACTCTAGTCCAAGTGCTAACTTACTTTCCACTTCTCTCTCTTAAAAAGACTTTAAAGTTTTAGTTATGTGCATGTGTGTGTGTCTGTGTGTCTGTGTGTCTGTGTGAGTTTGTGTGCATAAGTGCAGGTGCCTGTGGAGGCCAGAAGTGTCAGATCCTCTGGAGCTGGGGTTACAGGCAATTGTGAGCCCTGACTTTGTTGCTAGGAATTGAAGAGCAAGTGCTCTTAACTGCTGAACATCTTTTCAGCCCACCCCTTCAGTCTTCACCAGCCACCCATGGAAAGAGTTTCCCTTATTAGCATTGCCCAAGTGCCCAAGGATTTACCGTTTCCAGTAATCATATCAAAGCTTCACAAGGGAAGCCTAAATTGGACCAAAGTTTAAGTGCAGGCTGAAGAAGTCTGTGCATGATGTAAAATTTTCTGGATTCCATGCCAGGGCAGAGATGCTTTGAAATTTCATTTGTATCTTTGAACCCTCTCTCTTTTACTTAACTAGCAAAGCTCTTCCCCTCCCCCCAGTCATTCAATCAGCAACATCAGCTAGCATTTGCTTTATACAGTGGTAGAAACTTTGGGTAGTATTCTCAGGAGGCTTAAATCTGAAGGAGAGATAAAATGTTAATTGATAATATAATAAGGTATTGAAAGGTGTAAGCTTGTCATAAATGCTTTAATTTAGAGACCACTGTGAAGAAAAATATTTAGTAAAGAGTTTTCAAGTAAACTGGAATTTTTGCTACAAATTAATGGTTGGGTTAGGTAGAATTAAAGGTAAAGGGTCATAGAGAGTTCATTGGCTGAATAGGCTCTTAGTCAACACAGGCTGCAGTAACAAACTACTGGAGGCTGTAAATCCAACATGAAGGTACCATCCATCAGGTTCTGGTGATGGTGTTCTTCCAGGTTGCCAACAAACATCTTCTTGGGTTCTCATGGGAAATAGGGCAAGCTAGCTCTCTGGCCTCCTGTTGGTGTTTGGTGTGTTTTTTTGTTTGTTGTTTGTTTTTGTTATAAAATCAAGGACAGTTTTCTGAGTTTGAAAGGAAAACCCCATGGCAGGAAAACTGACTCTCGCAGCTGCCTAGAGGATAGAAGGGGGAAAGTCATGCCATTTAAACCCAATTGGCATGGAAGTCAGGCACATTGAGAGAAGGGGACTTTAGAGAAAGACTAAGGAAGCCAAAAAGCATCAATATACACTATTGTTCTGACCAACATCTGAAAGAAAGAGAAAAGAGCAAAAGGAAAAGTTATACCTTTCTCAGAAACAGGTAAACCAGCTGAACCTCTTGGCTGCTGATCTTGTAGGGTCTGCAGTTATTCCTACCATCTTTTGGTATACCTTAAGTAAGCCTACCTTCCTATGGGTGGCCTTTTGGCCAAATGATTGAACCCTGGCCTCTTCTTAAGACTCTAATCCTATTTACAACATCTCTATCCCCCTGACCCTTCTATCAAGGTTCCCATCTCCAGATAATATCACATTGTAATTAAAATGTAAACATTTGTATTGGGGGGCAGCATTTAATCTATTGTAGGCAGCAGCCAAGGCTAACTTTGGGTGGGTGAAAAGACCCAGCAACATGAAAGGTTTTGGAAAGTGGTTCTATCTCTTCTACTTTGCTTAAGAAAGTTCGGCCTATGGCAGTACTTCCCAAACCTTGACATGCATCAGTATTTCTTAAAAAAAGCTCGTTAGAACACAGATTTCTGTGGCCTACTTCCAGATTTCTGATGAGATGAGGCTCAATAATTTGAGCCAGATGTGATGGTTTGTACATGCAATCCCAGAATTTGTGATCCCAATGCAGGAAAATTGCATCGAGTTTGATGCAAGCCTGGGCCTTGAGTTGAGTTCCAGGCCAACCCGAGCTACAGAAACAAAAAGGAAAATTTGCATCTTTGCATTTTATCAAGTTCTCCAGTGGTACTGCTATGGATCTAGGACCCATGGTTTAAAAAAGAGAGGTCAGGATTGGAGAGATGGCTCAGCACTTAAGAGCACTGACTGCTCTTGCAGCAGACTCAGGTTTGATTCCCAGCACCCACATGATGGCTAACAACCATCAGTAACTCCATTTCCCAACATCCGGTGCCCTCTTCTGACTTCCACAACGCAGGTGCACTTACACACATGCATGCAATACACTCATACACATAAAATAAAGATAATAAAAAACCCAGAGCCCGAAGTCCAGATACTGGTATCTGGGTTGCTAATGACAATGCAGCAAACTGTTCTCTCCACCATGTGCTTTGTGTGCTCCCTCTGAGGTACAGGGTCCTCTCCATTCCTCCTCTGTTTTGCCCCCATCATACCTGTTTTGCCTGAGCCACCCTAACCCTCAGTCCTCATGGTCACCACTACTGGTCTATTTCTTTGCCTTTGTGGTTGTTCTAAGTTAATTTTCCATGTTGTGACTTTTATATTATCTAAATTTGAGGACTTTAGAAGAAAAAAATGAGTAATGTTATTTTTAATTCCTGATTTCTGGTGTCAGGCTGCTACACAGGTAAGTGAAAGTACTTAGATGGGAAACCTGATTTAGATTTTCTGTTCAAAACTGATGACAAATATGCCAACAGAAGCTTGTTTACCTTGGAATTATTGCTCTGATGAAATTACTTAGGTAGGTAGCAGGGTGACTATTAGCAGTAGTTCTGATAATTGCATGTTGATTTAAGACTTTTTTTATTAAACAGATTGTGGCTGACCCTTGACAAAAGCTTTGAATTCCTTCCGTTTCACCAGCAATCTCAGTATAAAGCAAAGTGCAGAGTAGCCCAAAACCCATTGGAGCGTCTTTCCACAAATAAGAAAAGAGGTTAAAAACACGTAGTAGGCACTCATGTGTTTAGTGAATGAACAAAGGAGGACATTCAAAATAAAAGTATTTTTCTTTTCTCTATGAAGCAAAAAATAGAGTTCTGTAAAATGTAAGCCTGGTTATCTTGTATCAGTTTTAAATTTGGCATGCTATCAAATGTTAATTTGCTTTTAGCTGGTTGAGATTAAATATAATTCCTTCCCTGAGCAACCCTGAAGTAAGCAAGCAGGAATGCGTTTTCAGAGTAATCTGGGAGGAATTGACATTTAAAGGAGTTAGCATTACATCTGTACTTTAAGGCTATTAATTTCATAGATAGATTAACTTCATTGCTCTGCTATCTTGCATTTTGAAAGGACTCCATCAGCTAGAGGACTGAAAGCCGAGGGGCAACTCAAACTGCTCTTATCCCAGCCAAGTTGTAACTGGAACCTGCTTCTGGAAACCCTACTGCATGATGGTGGCCTTTTCCCAAGAATCTTGCTGAAAAGCTCAGGTAAATATTTGTAGTTTCAAGAACGTCCTTTAAAAAAAAAAAAAAAAAAAACAGACATTGCCAGAGTTGAATGGAATTTTTTTTCCTTTTTTATTTGAATTTTTGCAAATTTCATACAATATATTTTGATCATATTTAGAACTCCTCTGCCCCATCTGTACACTATTCATATAGCTCCCCCCTAGATGTCATGTACTCTGTCATATATATTAAGGCCTATAAAATCACGTTTGTGTCCCCAGAGGTCCTTGGTCAAACCTATCTAGCGTCCACCCTGAAATAAAACCAACTCACCTTCTCCTGGTACTTATCAGTTGCTAATAATTCCTCAGCTAAGGTTATTGCTTTTTACCCATTTCCCTACTTCTATGCTGAGATTTTGTCCCTCTTGAGCTTGTATGACTTTTGTATACTGTCACTGTTAGGGTAAGTTCATATGAGTAACTTTCGGCTGTCTGGAAAACTCTGTTTCCTTGTGGTCATCCACCACCTCTGACTCTTATAATCATCTGCCGCTCTATTCATGATGGTCCCTGAGTCTTGGGTGGAGTTTTTTTTTTTCTACTTGAGTATTATCAGAAGGATATAAACCAACTGCACATACCAAAAGTCTTTGGGATAGCAGATGAACTACTGAATTGCTTTACCAATTTATTTGATCTTTTTATTTCAGGAACTCTGAGTGATGCAAAACAATAACTTTGTATGAAACTGTACTATCATAAGTACCATTATATAGGGGTGTCCAGACTCAGTGTTTGAAATGCCTAAGAAAGCCAAAAGAAGTTTCATTTCCAAAGCGCAAGCCTGAATTAGATAAATAAATAGAGATTACAGTAGATTGGCACTTGTAATTTTAGTGTATCTTGAAGCATGCTTTACAACTTATAAATAAGCCAGCTGGGGCTTACAGCCATGTCCCCTGGGGCACAGAGAAGTGAATTTTGAGAGAAAACTGTGAATGAAAATTGAGAGACAGTGCTTCTCTTAATTAGACTTTCTTTTTCCCTACAAATCCTACTTTGAACAATGGCAGGAAGTATTCTGCCAGTATAACGCCAGACCTGATGGCCCTCTCACTTCACCTGTGAAGAGTCTTCACAGGTCACGTGTCCCTGTGGAGTCTTTTTCTGTATCACATATGAATTCAGATTTCAAATCAAGAACTAGTTTCACTACAGGCTTCCTGAATCAAACTTCTTTTTCTCTCATTCTTTCTTATATGTAGGACCATATCGAAGTCCTTCAGATATGACCCCAGGCGCTCCCCTAGCATTCATTCACACATACCCACACCCAACCTGTTCCAGTCTTCATGTCCAAAGCCACACACGTGTGCTCCCTCTATACCTTGGCTAGCTGATTTTTCCTACTAGAGACCCTTCCCCAGGCAACTCAGCTTCCATAGTCTACAAGGTCCTGCTGATGTTTCAGATGCTTGAATGTTATACCCTGCCCTAGTTTCTTTCTTCATAGCGTTCTGTATCATAGCTACTCCATTCGCTCTTACCATGACCTGCCCTCTCTTGCTATATTTATATGCAAATAAAGAAAGTGTCTTCAGGTCCTACCAGCCTGTTGGTTTATAAATGAGACCCATGGCATTCCCAGTCATTTCTGGTGATTTTTGTTTTTTTACGTTGTCACCAAGATCTTGATGTGGCCTTTCTTCAGCTTCCTAATCCTTGTCATCCTCACTGAGAATGCAGACAAGATGCAGAGAGTGCAAGATACGTAGTGTTTATTACAGACCAGTGAGGCATGCTTAACAGGTGACAGTGGACAATGGCCAAAGAGACCATTGTGCTAGTTTACATTTTCAGTTGGTTTTATACTATTTCTAAAATTTCTTAAACAGCTTTCCCTGAGGTTTTTTTTTTTTTTTTCTCTTGTCCAAGTGATTGACTTTTAAGGGAGGGGACAAAGAAATGTCTTTATTCTTCACCAGAAAATTTTGAGACCTTCTGGATAGTTCAGAATGTCATGTCTCTATCCTTATGCAGGGCTAGTGGTATGCCCCAGGTCCCATTATTTTGACCAGTAATAAGTCCTGAAGCCTTAGTTCAATTTTTTTGTAAATTTTTTGTTGAACTTTTATGTATTTCATACAGAACCAGTAATCATCTGTATACCCCCTTCCCCATTGGTACCCTCCTATACCCCCCCAACTGGAATTCATACATTCTGCCATTTGTTTTAAAGCCTATCATGTCAAGATAGTGTTCCCAGATGTCCCTCAGTACAAGTTCATCCAGTGGAGTCTAGTCAGCCTATCTAGAGTCCCTCCCTTTTGGAAGATCAGCTCTTTCTCACCCAGCAGTAATGAGCTGCTAATAATTCTTTAAGATTGTGGTTTTAGTTCATTTTTACAAGCTGCCAATTTTGAGAGGGGTCCATCCCCAAGAACCTTTAATCCTGTTGATATCTAACTGGCTACTTAGGACTAGTTCCCCATATTCATCTCTTTTTTTAATTTTTATTTTTTTTTGAGACAGAGTCTCCTTGTAGTCCCAGCTGGCCTGGAACTTGCTATATAGACCAGGCTGGCCTCCATCTCACAGAGATCAGTCTGCCTCTGCCTCCAGAGTGCTGGGATTAAAGGCGTGGGCTGCCTTTATGTTAGTTTCCCAAAAATCATGTCAGGGAGGTGCCTCCCATGAGAGTATTGCTTTTCTTTTATTCTCTCAAAACCATGAAACTGTTACTAGGCACTTAGGGGCATGAACCCACTGCCTCAGCTTCACTGTATTTTAAAAGAAAGTAGAAAACATAAATTGGTAAAGGAGAATGGATTTATTTGCAGTTTGGCCAGGTGAATGGGGGGAGGTAGAATCTAATCTGCCTGCCCTCTGCCCCATAGCTATGGCCATCTTACCATTTATAGAAAACCCTGAGACAAATTTACCTGTGAGACAGGTTAAATAAACTTTCCTCCAGAGGAGGATTTGGACTCTAGGTTGCCAACATTCTCTGGTACAGTGACAGGTTTTTATTCAAGTCTGGCCCAAGGAAAATGGAATCTATAGTCACAGGTTATCTGAACACCTGAGGCCTTCCAGTGCTGAAGCAGAGTGCAGGAGTTGTCCTTTTCCCAAGCCCTGAATCCAATATTCCTCTCAGCCCTTGAGCATTACCATTCAAGTTTCCAGTCTCACAAAGTTCACTTGAAAGTAGTTTCTTTAGCTCCAGACTAGACGGGCTGCACTTGTTTTAGTAGAAAACTGGAAATAGAAAAACTAATTGCTCAAATAACCAACATTTTGTGCACATAGCAGTTATCATGCAGTTGCCAGGCATTTTATTTTATTATATAATTTTATTCTTCTTATAACCTTGTGAAGAATATAATTGCTATGGTTTGGATCCAAAATGGGCCCTAAAGGCTCATGTGCTAAAGGCGTGGTCCACAATGTAGCAGTGTCCAGAGTAGGAATTTGTTCAGTGATTGAATGATGAAGGCTCTGCCCTTATCTGTGGAATCTTAACTTGATGGGCTATTGGATGTGATAGAATCTTAAGAGTCTCCAGGGACTGAGTCCTTGGAGAATTACCATAAGGGCCATATCTTCTCTGTGGCCCTTTCTTTCCTCTAGCTCTCCCATATACTCTGTTTCCTGGCTGAATTAGGTGACCAGCTTTGTTCTAGCACACATACACCATGGCCCATGATGTTCTTCACATGACCCAGAAACAATGGATCCAAATTACATGAATAGAAACTGTGAACCACAATACATCTCTCCTCCTTGAAGCTGATTTTCTTGGATCTTTGTCACAGCAACAAAAGGCTAAATAAGACAATTCTATTGTTATCTTTGTGTTACAAATAAGAGCATTGGGGTTTGAGAGAGTTGGCCTCTGTATTTGCATGTACTGTATTCAGCCAACTCAGAAAATATCTGAAGAAAGAGTGATGTTCCCCCTTATCATTCCTTAAGCAGTAAGACATAGCATCTGTTTACATAGGAATTACCTTACTAAGTATAAATAATCTATATATGATTTGCAATATATGAAAAGATGTGCATAGTTTATATGCAGATAGTGTGATGTTTCAGAAGTGACTGGAGCATCTGCAAATCTTATCATTGGAGCTTTCAGGCATGGTAGCTGAATGGCATGGATAGTATCTGACACACCTGAGAGAGTTACTTTGATATGAGCATTGAAACTCAAGAGCCGTTAGGAAAAATGGTCTCCTCTTGACAAAGTTATGTAGATCAATCTGGAAAAATCAGAGATCATACCTTTGAACTATAACTGATATTGCAACTTAGTAAAGGAAAAGCAAATGAACTTATAAATACCACACTATGCCTTCTTACTAGTAAATGCCACATTTATTGTTCAAAACTGTGATGTTTACATTCTTATATGTATAATGTTGTTTTGAAGATATTTGCAGGCTAATGTTGGTTCTTATGTAAAACATCAGTGTCTTCACCTAATTGCTCAAATACATGCCACTTCTTACAAAGGCTATTTGTTTCCACGGATGCTTTGGTAGTGTCCTTTGAATTTTCTTCACTACATCAAATACCTTGAAGACGAAGTCACAGAATTTACTAATCATCGAGTAATCATTTTTTTAAACTCCTGCAGGGTTCTTGTCATTTTGTTAGAAACATATTCATGAAAATTATGTTTATAATAGTAAATTTGTAATTTTTTGCAGAAATTTTCCTTTCATTTAATTAAAAGACTCACAGAATTTAGAATAGTTGTTGATAATTTAGATGTTTGATCACATATTAGGAAAGCAAAATTTTAGAGTAGAATACTCTTAATTAAGCAACATGACTACTGCCTTTTATGGGAGAACTTTTCTTAATATTTAGTTAACATGAATCAAATTTAAGAACTTTTATTAAGAACTTTTATTAATAAAATTTGATTCATGTTTAGTTAAAATCAGAAAAAGTGTACTGAGATAGTTAACATATATTTTATTACATATTTCTTTTAGTATTTTATTATTTTTATTTTATGTGTATGCGTGT